TTAGCGCGAAAGCGCGAGTTCAGCTTGCATAAGTTGCTGAAGACAACCGTCGTTTGCGGAATCACCGCCGGCGTTTGGTAGAAGTCCAGCCACGCACTTGGGTGGAACGAGACGCGCGCGCCGTACTTCGAGAGCATGTTCGTGTCGCCGTGCAGCACCAAGTCGTACACGTTCAGCGGGAAGATCAGCAGCCCGTCGAGCCCGAGCCGCTCCTTCAGCAGCCGCATCGCCTGCACGAAGCTCGGCAAGTCGCTGCGGATCTCGCGCCATCCCGGCGTGTTGCACGACAGGTAGCGCAGCACGCCAAACGTCGTGTCGATCTGCGGCGACGGCAGCGCCGAGAGCCGCTGGATCAGGTGCCGCACCAGCTCGCTCAGCCGCTCCTCCACGAACTCCGGCGTCAGCGCGCCGTGCTGCCGCAGCCGCTGCAGCAACGGCGCGCCGCCCGGCTGCGCGAGCTGCTTCGCGAGCACGTCGAAGCCGCTCACGATGTGGAAGATCGAAATGAACAGCGTGCGCGACAGTTGCTCCGCGAATTTGTAGTAGTTGACCAGCTCGTTTTTGTTGGACCGGTTCCAGTCGTGCCGCTCGCACTGTAGGTGCAGCCCCGCACACATCAGAATGAACGCCTCGTCCAGCAGCGCCTCCATCCCGAGCACCTGCTTCGCGCAGACCGCGTTGATCACGAAGTGCGCGAGACTCATGTAGAACAAGTGCTTGAACGTCAGGTTCCGCGTCGAAATCAAGTCCATCAAGTTGCACAGCAGCTCGCGCCGCGAGTACTCGTGCCAGCCGCGCGCCGACTTAAACGCGTCCGCGCGCTCCGCCGACCAGTCCGACGACGGCTCCAGCTCGAGGTCGAACAGCGGCCCCAACAGCTTGAACAGCTCGAAGTCCACCGCGTCCAGGTTCGAAACGCGCACGTACTGCAGCACGCCGCTGATTTTTTTGAGAAAGGGAAAACCCTTCGCCTCGAGTTTCTGCCGCTTCGCGTAGTTGTCGTGCCCGCCCTCTCCATACTCCTTCGGATGAGGTTGCAGCCGCGCACTCATCGCAGCAGCGACCTTTATATTAAATTTTTAAAATACTAGCTAACGCCACAAAGACGGAACAACGCGCGCCAAGTCGAACGCCGGAACCTCCGCCTTCAAAAAGCCAAGCACCTGTGCGGGAACTGGCGTGCTGCGGCCGATGATCAGACAGTGCGACTGCGCGCCGAGCGCGCCGCGCAGCAGCGGCGCCACGCGCGCGAGACACTCGGCGATGTACGGCTTGCCCGTGCTCGCGTGATGCGCGCCGATTCCCGCCTGCTGCACGTACATCTGAAAGCCCGTCGCGCCGCGCGTCGTGTAGCCGATCACAAGGTGCGCGAGCATCTGCTTCAGTTCGTCGTCCAGGTGGCAGCGGTAACGCGTGCCGTAGAGCAAGACCAAGTTGTCCAAGCGGCGGCGCGCGCGGAAAAAGGCGTGCTCGACCACCGCGCGAGCGAGCCCGAGCCCCGAGCCGGTCGCGACGAGCAGGTGCGGGCCCGGCGACTCGTAGAACGGCGAAAGGTCCACGTACCGCCGCACGTAGAACTGGAACCAGCGCTCCGGCTGCGCAGCGAGCGCGGTCAAAAAACTCGTCGTAAGCGGTCGCTGCTTCAAGTTCGTCGAGACGAACTCGCCGTTGCGGACCATGATCTCCATGAATGCACCCGGGCGACTCAGCGCGCGGCTCGCCGCGCAGCGGCCCGGAACGCCCAGCGCCGCGCCCAGCCAACGCTTCAGCGGCGAGCTCGCGATGCTGTACGCGCGCGGCTGCAGCAGCGGCGTCGAGCGCAGCACGAAGTGCAGACAGCGAAACGCCGCGGCCGAGTCCGGCGCGTCGCCGATGAAAAAGTCAGCGATCACGTCGATGCGCCCGCGGAACGCGGAGACCACGTAGTCGAAATACAACTCGAGCGCCTCCGCCGAGCTCGCTGTCATGAAGCGCAGCCGCTCGCGCCGCAGCGCGTCCGCGACGAAGTCCGCGAGCCCGCTGAGCCACTCGCGACTCGGGACCGCGAACACGTCGATGCCGCGCGCGGCGACCGCCAACAGCTCGCTGCGCTCCGCTGCCGCGAACGCGCGGCCGAGCTTGCGCTCCAACAGCGCGAGCAACTCGTGCGCCACGCGTTGCGCGCTGCCGCGCGCGCCGGTCTCGCGCTCCACGTGCAGCTGCAGCAACAGCGCGCGGTCCGCCGCGGCGAACGGCAGCTTTTCCGCAAGCAAGTTCAAAAAGCCGGCCTTCGGCAGAATCATGAGCGCGTCGCCCGGCCGGTACGCCGCGTTGGTCAGCAGCTTGTACAGACAGACGGAGTCGTCCGCGACCAGCGCGCGGCGGCTCACGAGCCAGCCCGTGCGGAAATGCGTGTGCACGAACACGCGCTCGCCGAGGTAGAAGCGCGCGGCGCTCACGCGCGCCGACTCCGGGTCCGGCGCAAAGTGCTTCGCGACCTGCGGCAAGTAGTTCTGCTGCACGCGCTTCAGCCACGGGTCGAACGCAGAGTACACCGCGAAGTCCGCCGTGTTGTCCCCGAAGCCAATGTCGTCGTAAACCTCAAGCCCGAGGTCGCCCCGCAACGCGCACAGCGCC